CTCCAGGTTGCAATTCTTTTACTATGTCGTGGTACAGTTGACTAAGACGTACCTGGGAACATCCCATGCGTAGATTTGAATCCTCATAACAGCCCTTGTGGATTTGTTCACTGACAGTTTAAATGTGGGCTCAATACACAGTATATACTTTCACGACCAAAGATCACATTCACTCCAAACAACTACCACTTACGGGCTACTCATGCCCATGCCACCTCTTGGGTGGATTAATCTTTATCAATCAATCAATCCTGTCCCATCGCTTGAGAATGAATCTTTTAGGTTCGAAACGTTGTGTAAATTTACAATAAGTGTAATACTTTCTACAGTTATCTTTTAATTTTAAACTTTAAACTGAATTTAATATTTTCTTCTCCTACCACTCCTATTCTTGTTTTTATTAATTTTATTACACTCTGTTACAGTTTGCAGAAAACACACATGCATATAACAATCACTGTTCAAAGACCTCATCCAGCTCTTCAGAGGTGGGGTGCAAGATACAGCAAGCATTTCCTCTCTGGATCACGACAATCGGATATTATATATATATATATATATATATATATATATATATATATATATATATATATATATATATATATATATATATATATATATGTCGTACCTAGTAGCCAGAACGCACTTCTCAGCCTACTATGCAAGGCCCGATTTGCCTAATAAGCCAAGTGTCCTGAATTAATATATTTTCTCAATTTTTTTTCTTATGAAATGATAAAGCTACCCATTTCATTATATATGAGGTCAATTTTTTTTATTGGAGTTAAAATTAACGTAGATATATGACCGAACCTAACCAACCCTACCTAACCTAACCTAACCTATCTTTATAGGTTAGGTTAGGTAGCCGAAAACGTTAGGTTAGGTTAGGTTAGGTAGGTTAGGTTGTCGAAAAACAATTATTTCATGAAAACTTGGCTTATTAGGCAAATCGGGCCTTGCATAGTAGGCTGAGAAGTGCGTTCTGGCTACTAGGTACGACATATATATATATATATATATATATATATATATATATATCATTTTTTTTTTTTTTTTTTACGCAAAAAAAAAAAAAGGGAAGGGAGTACCACCTCTGGCAGGAAGAAGGGGACCCATAGCCTCGGAGGAAACCACACATAACGCACTGGAGGGAATGTGGGTCGTCTCCAATACAGTTTCTGTGTGCTTTTCTCCTACCACCCCCTTCCCTTTTATATATATATATATATATATATATATATATATATATATATATATATATATATATATATATATATATATATATATATATATATATATATATATATATATATATATATATATATATATATATATATATATATATATATATATATATATATATATATATATATATATATATATATATATATATATATTGTCGGAGTTTCACGCTCTTAAATCCTGGCGAGTACGCCAATGTCGGGGTTTCTCCCTCTCTGGCCAGTCACCACCAAGTATTATTAGTGATGAACGTGACTTACAGTAGCCCCACAGGTCTTCACACAATCCTCACGGTGCCACTGTTCACCCGGAGAGTCTCCCAGTCTATCTCCAGCCGGCCTCGTAGCCAAAGACGAGTGGGAACACGATCACTTCACTTGATCATGTGCCCGCCCCGACAGAGGGCTCTACCGCTCACTAAAGGTCGCCAACTGGTGTTTACCATGTCCAGTAACACCTCAGTGGAATAGTAATATAGTAGTGATAGTAGTGGCCCAATAGAACACTAATCAATTTGGTATCAGGTAAGTATTTGTTTAAATCACTCTCTTATAAAGTCTCAATAGCAACAAAGTAATATATATATATATTACTATATATATATATATATATATATATATATATATATATATATATATATATATATATATATATATATATATATATATATATATATATATATATATATATATATATATGTCGTACCTAGTAGCCAGAACTCACTTATCAGCCTACTATTCAAGGCCCGATTTGCCTAATAAGCCAAGTTTTCCTGAATTAATTTATTTACTATAATTTTTTTCTTATGAAATGATAAAGCTACCCTTTTCACTATGTATGAGGTCAATTTTTTTTTATTGGAGTTAAAATTAACGTAGATATATGACCGAACCTAACCAACCCTACCTAACCTAACCTAACCTATATATATAGGTAAGGTTAGGTTAGGTAGCCAAAAAAAGCTAGGTTAGGTTAGGTTAGGTAGGTTAGGTAGACGAAAAAACATTAATTCATGAAAACTTGGCTTATTAGGCAAATCGGGCCTTGCATAGTAGGCTGAGAAGTGAGTTCTGGCTACTAGGTACGACATATATATATATATATATATATATATATATATATATATATATATATATATATATATATATCCTCTAGCACAAACTTATAATATAAATGACATGAATATAAACGTCCTCGTCACAGAAATCTCTTCATTGAACCACAGGTGCAATCACACACACCGTATATATATATCTCATGAGAGCTCTATAGCATCTCCTCACAACTGTGTATCACTAGAAACATAGATATTGGTGAGCCCGGGTCACGACATAGATGATACTCTGGTCACAGTAATCTCTTCACCAAAACCACAGGTGCAATCACACACCATACATATATATATATCTCATGAGAGCTCTATAGCATCTCCTCGCAACTGTGTTTCACTAGAAACGTAGACATTGGTGAGCCCTGCTCACGACATAGAAGATACTCTGGCTAATAGCTAACTAAAGGGGAATTGGAGGGAAAACTGAATTACCTACTTCCACCATCAATGATGTGGACTCATACTCTGTTGAGAGTTGCATTGAAGCTCCTGGTCCAGGCTCTTGACTCGTTGTAGGGAACACCCCCCCCCCCCCCCACACACACACTGATGCTCTCTTCCCAGGAACTCAACCAACACCCAAAAACGCGTCTTCTCCATACTCTTCCCTCTGCACGTTCTGTGCTCCTCCACAACCTCTTGAAGGGTTGGAGTCGGTCTCCTGGCTGTCGCCTCCTCCTCACAGCTACGTCTGCAGTCGTTCGTATTCCCAGCTATTCCCAGTCGTACTGCCTCTGGGAATACTTCACTTCCTCACGGTGGACTGGCCCAGCCACTACGTCATCACCCAACTGGTGAAACTGTACAGTCATCCCGGACGTCACTGCTCAGACTTCACTTCTTGCAAAGCACCTGTCACTGGAGCACTTGTTGCTCGTTTCCAGTCAATTCCTTCTTCTGTCCGACACACGGAGTACAGGAAGACCTCACAGGGTGCTTGCAGACCACAGGTGATGCGTAAATCCACCGGAGATGGGCGAAACTGTCAGACTGACAGGACCCCCGATCACACGTCAGACCTCCTCGACGTGTCGTGTCTAACTCCTTGGCGCCACGGGACGGGACGCGCCGTCTGGACCCCCTTGTACTCGTGATGTCATACTTGCCAGGGGCGTTTCTCATTGGCTCCCTGTGCCACGTCACCGTTCTTGACCAATCTCGTGCAACTGACGTCACAACGTCTTGGCGGGAAAACGTAGGGGCCAGCGCCATCTTGGCGTCCTAAAGGCCCTAAGCCACTGGCCAAAACACTCTTTTTTGGCTAATTTCTCGCCAACGCGAGAACACCTCATGCTCCCACATATGTCAAATTGTTCCTTGGAAGGTAGAGAACATTCGGGTAAAGTAGATATGACTCTTACAGCTGGCGTAGGAGAAATATAAGGGGGGGAACACCGTCACAATATATATATATATATATATATATATATATATATATATATATATATATATATATATATATATATATATATATATATATATATATATATATATATATATATATATATATATATATATATATATATATATATATGTTTCATTGAATATGACCGCATATTCTGTGTTTATTATTTTCTGGTTTAGGGCTTCTATCCCTCTAACTATTTTCTTAGCATCAGGGCTTAATTGAAATAGGAGTTCTCCAAAACTCATTTTCGTACTTTTGAGGTGAAGAAAAGAAGTGATTTACTATAGAGTGTATTACACTTATTTATATAATTTGCACAACGTGATGTTACGTTGTGCAAATATATATATATATATATATATATATATATATATATATATATATATATATATATATATATATATATATATATATATATATATATATATATATATATATATATATATATATATATATATATATATATATATATATATATATATATATATATATATATATATATATATATATATATATATATATATATATATATATATATATATATATATATATATATATATATATATATATATATATATATATATATATATATATATATATATATATATATATATATATATATATATATATATATATATATATATATATATATATATATATATATATATATATAGTGTTCTTGCATCAGGGTTCAGCTGGAAGAGGAGTTCACCAAAAGTCATGTTCGTTTTCAAGGTGAAAAAGAAAGAATTGAATAACTGAAGAATGTATACACTTATTATAAAATCGCACGATGTTTCGAACCTACATGGTTCATCCTCAAGTGATGTTACAGTACAGAACATTATATTTTATACTAATAATGGGTCAGGTGAATACAAATGGATCGAACAATATGGTCAGGTGTAAACAAAGTGTATACATTGGGTAGACATGAAGGAGAAAAGAAGATAAGGATCAGAAGGTTAAGTAGGGTACATACAAAGATTAATCAAGCGTAGTGGGCGCTGTTTGTCGAGCAGTGTCTTCTATGTTGGCATCTTGACGTTCTGGTCTTGTTCTTGCTCTTGTGGTGGGTAGAGTGAATAGTTCCGTAATTTGAGTATTTATGGTAGCTTCTACTTTTATGTGGATTGCTTCAAGAATTTGTAATCTTCTTACATTTTGGGTTTTGTCTATTATACAATTTTTGTATAATAGACAAAGTTCATGTTAAAAATGGATTGCATTCTTCAGGACTATTTTGGTGATTGTACCAGTGACACCAACTGCTCCCGGGCGCTGACCTTCCTAGTGACGCAAGCCGTGGATACTGCCACCCACAACAACGACTGGTCACTCCACACCGACCTGGAATTTTCTCCAAGGTGACCTGAGATAGAAACACACATTCAAAGTATTTCCATTTTTAAATTTTATGTTTCAGGTCTAAGTTAGCACACCTATACTGGATAATATGTTAGTTGTTAATGATTGTAAATAATTATTGTAATAATTACATAGGCAAGTTAGCATAGAGTATATTATACGACACATCAGAGTTAAGAACATGAGAATAGAGAAATTAGCAGATGGCTTTTTGGCCCATTTGATGCAGCTCAGTACTGTGTGTGTATATATATATATATATATATATATATATATATATATATATATATATATATATATATATATATATATATATATATATATGTAATAGAACCTGTGGGAAAATTGTCGGGATTGATTAATGAAAACTACTTAGGACTTGTACTGTACTAAATTATAAATTACTGAACGCAAAATTAATACAACTAAAGTCCCTAGCTAGGGGTTGTAAAGCCTAGCTCCTCTTGTCCTCATAACAGACTGTTAGCTGTAAGGGGCAGGTGGGGGTCCCTAAGGGTGAATGGAGATATTGATTGAAGATCTACAATTCATCTGCAGACAATTCAACACATCAGCTTGTATTGTTAATACAAGGATGAGATTAAATAACTCAGTTCTGTAACTGAACACTGGTTCTGTTTAAATCAGTAATAAAACTGATGGCAAGTTTCTTGGCCTATTCCTAGACAAGAGACTCAACTTCAGCACCCACATTCAACACATAACTAAGAAAGTCCCTAAATCCATTGGTATACTCTCTAAAATAAGATATTATGTTCCTAACTCTGCTCTCCTCTCACTATATTATGCACTAATCTACCCCTATCTTAATTATGGTATCTGTGCATGGGGGTCTACCACTGCAAACCACCTTAAGCCCATCATCACGCAGCAAAAAATCTGCTATCAGAATAATAACAAAGTCTGCTTTCAGACAACACTCAGCTCCCTTGTTTAAATCCCTAAACTTGCTAAATATTAACTCCCTCCACACATTCTGTTGTGTCTTTAGGTGAAGAAAAAGTTAATATGCAGCTTCATATTAATGTAGTTTTGTAAACTACATTTACAAAACCTTGTTCTTAAATGCAAACCATGCTCTGAAACTCTCCCTGGACAGATGTAATAGGACCTATTATCACCACACCAGAAATAAATATCTCTTTGATATACCCAGGGTCAAACTTAATCTGTGTAAACACTCTATGTAAATTATGGGACCTAGTCTATGGAACTCACTCCCTAGTGAATTGAAAAGCTGTCAAACTTTTGCCTCATTTAAAAACAAAAAGTACCTAATTTCATCTTCGTAGTTTCCTACACTGAGCTTTAAATTTGCTCTGTATCTAGTGTTACCCAATCTCCCAATCTTTATGTACTTAACCCAAACAACTTTATCATTGTGTTCATTGCTGTCTTCTTTTATGTGCTAGCCATATGCTGTATTGTGCCTACTAATTTTTGTTAAACTACCATTGAAGCTGTCATTGCAATCAATCTGAGCTACCTTTGTACTTTAATATACCTACAATTTTCTCTCATCTTTTATGTTTTCTTGCTTTGTAAGTGTTATAATTTTTTATAAATTTTGCAAGTATTTACCTACTTAAAACTTTCTTAGTTTAAGGACCTGCCCGAAACGCTGCACGTACTAGTGGCTTTACAAGACTGTAATTACTATACTATGTATCCTCACAATCCCAATGTACCTTCTTGTATATATATAAATAAATAAATAAATAAAATCAAGGATCTAAACATGTACATAGTGCAGCCTAGTACTATTATTACAACAACCAATATTCACATACTAATAAACTCAATAATTTGTATTATAGAGACAGGATATATGTAAATATGCAATTAAATGACCTTAAATTTGATCCAAGTGCTGGTATTTAGGTACAAGAATTTATATTCTATATGATAAACTTATATGATAAAGATAATTAAGTAAGCAATTGTTAGCTTAATGTATATTATCAATTATATATATATATATATATACATATTCAATTTATATGAAACGATTCAGTCGAGCTTGGCTTTCAATGACTCAGGCTGAATAATTAATGAGTGCCCAGATAACTTTAAAAGATTTAACAACTGAAAGATTAATCAAAATTTACTTTAATCTGGGGCGTCGCCCCACACTGTAACAGCAAACAGACTTATTGAATAGATTAAGCATTTGCTGGCCAATCAACACACTAGAATAACACTCAATATATTTATGTAAAATGCAGTCTAAAAGCCGGTGCCGTCTGACAATTTGCCAGATTTGATAACCCCCTCTTGTAGAGCTCAGGCACTATATTTTATGTCACAGCTTTGTTGTTTAATATTATGGTAGCTTTGCTAGTTGATTATGTCCTTAGTTACAATTGCAGTAGGATAAGATTAGGTGTTGTGGAGGTGGCATCACTTCGAGCCACTCTACACCCTTATTTAGATAAAAGTAATAGGAATTTTTCCTTATTGATATAGTCCAGGTGCTCCCCCAGTTCTAGATAGTAATCACTGGTGATAAGGATAAGTTAGTGTGGTGTCCTTTACTGAAAATGTTCGCAAGGCACCGCGTCACGTGTTCACCCTATTTGTAAACAAAGCTTTTTCCCTCCTTGGGGTACTGCTTAGGTCGCTTCATCTCCCGAGTTCGTCCCGCCCTCCTCCCTAGAGAGGGTAGCCTTCAAGGTATATTTATGGATTATTTTTACTATCTAGACATATGATTGAGATAAGATGTGATGTGATTATAATATAATCGATACAGGATTTATAGATTATTGGTAGTACTGGATAGTACTATTAATTCTTATTAAGAGTTTGATTTAATCCTCACCGGAAATCGATTGATTGTTCCAATACAGTAGTTTTTAATTAAGATATTATTCTCGAAGAAAATGTTGGCACTTTGCAGCTCCTTGTTGGCCTCTTGATATATTTGTAACAGATCAGTAGTACTGTTAATTGTCCCTTCAAAATTATCTACATATAGATTTTGACTGATTTCAGCCTTATAGGGACTTGATTTTTTCAGATGAGTGTCTAGAGTTGCTTGCAGCAGATATGGGCTGGATTTTGCTCCAAAGAGTACAGAGGAGAATCTGTAAATCACAATACTTAGAAACTCTTAGAAAAGCTTTGCTAATATCTGCTGTATGCATGTTTGTTAAGTCTAAACATCAGCAGTATGTTATACAATTTATGAGTTAAACTTAGACCTGTTTGCAAGAAATCATTCAAACTGGTTGCTTGGGGTCCAGATTTAGAGCTACAATTAAAAACAATATGTGAAGGAGTTTTTTTTATTCTCTGATTACAGCCATATGAGGTAAAAAAAATGGGTTGTTTGTTTATTGTCGTGTTTCACAACTTCAATGAACTTTTTCTGTGGCTGTTGTGTAATAATAAATAAATAAATAAATACATTTTTATTCAGGAAAGGTACATACATACAAGGTAAGATACAAAGTTGATGGATTTATAGATAGAGCTGGTACATACAATGCCTAAAGCCACTATTACGCAAAGCGTTTCGGGCAGGAAAAGCATTAAAGACTAAAACTTAATACTAATTAAGTTAAAGTATAAAATGTGTTGAGAACAAATAAAAATAAAAATAAGAAAGAGGGGGAACATGGCTGAAAAAGCAGCACAAATACAATTAGGTCGACAAACAGCGTTGTTTAAAAATACAGACATGGGTTGACAATAGAGGGGTAAGGTAGGTTACAGGGAATTTATTAGGAAGTGCTTCGTTTTTATCTTAACTGATTGAGAGAGGTACAGTCTTTAACATGGTTGGGAAGATCATTCCACATTCTGGGTCCCTTGATTTGTAGAGCATTTCTAGTTTGATTAAGCCGTACTCTTGGAATATCAAAACTGTATTTGTTTCTGGTGTGGTGCTCATGGGTTTTGTTACAACCTCAAATGAAGCTTCTGAGGTCAGGATTGGCATTACAGTTCAGCGTTTTATATATGTTTTATACACATGAGAGAATGTGCAGTGACTTAATATCTAGCATATTCAGAGATTTGAGTAGGGGTACCGAGTGATGTCTGGGGCTAGAGTTGGATATTGTCCTAATAGCAGTCTGTGTTGAGTAATTAGAAGACGTAAATGATTTTGGGTAGTAGAACCCCAAGCACAAATACCATAGTTGAGATATGGATAGATGAGGGAGTAATAGAGAGTCACCAGGGCAGGGCGGGGTACATAATATCTGATCTTAGAAAGAATGCCAACAGTTTTTTAAACTTTTTTTATATATTTAGAATGTGTCCCTGGAAATTCAGCTTGTGGTCAATGTGAGTCAATAATCTTATGGTAGAGTTGTAAATGCTTAGGTCTTTTCTTTAGCTTTGCTAACAGTGATTTAAATGGACTATATGCCATATGATAGTTGGAAGGTAAGGTTTTATGGTTAAATTTCCAAGGTAACCTTACCCAATATTGTCCATCATGGTACTGGTCAGTTTCTAAGTAGATTGCATGTACAGACATCATCAGGACTTGGTTGTTCAGGAATTATTCCTATTGCATCAAGTTCCCACAATGTGGAGGATATTAATTGGTGATTGTTCTTTGCCTAGTCAGGCCACCATTACAGTTGTAGCGAGTAGATTATTCCAATAATATACTCGCTCCAAATGCATTGTTAATATTTCTGTCAACCTTTGGAGATGAATGAGGTGAGGCGTTGCCCAGGCAACACGGTGAGGTGTTGCCCGAGCATATAAGCAGCAGAATAGCAAACATTAACCAGAGTCTACTTTCAAGTGTGGTCTAGAGCAGACACTTGCGAGATACTGTACCGACGCTCAGTGCGCTCAACTCACACCAAAGTTTCACTGTACTTCTGTATATTCGACCAAATATATATATAGTATCTTAGTGTCTGTGTTTATTGTCACCATACTTTACGTAACAATAGAACCGTTACATTGGTGACCCCCAGAGAGTTTCGACGATACCCAGCCACGATGGACTACA